AATCAAAGTGTGTCTTCCAATAGAACATTATCAAAAACTAAGCTGATATTTTGATTTTCTTTGCTTGTCTCAAGCTATTCTAAAATTTGTTAGAGTACAAGAAGATAACTCTGAGTTTCCTTACATTCCAAAGATCTCATTTCAGATGATATATGTTTTTAATGTGTTTGTCCTCTCCACTAGACCAAATCCTCAGAGGGCAGGAATCACCTCTCATTGATGGCCCTAGTGGACCTCAGTGAACCCAGGTGGATGTGCATGGCCCAAGTGAGGAGAGCTCTCAGGCACACTGGTGATTTCTTGCATTTTCTAAAGCTCCTCTCTTCCTCCTGCCACTGCTTCTCTGAAGTAAAATAAGAACAGAAACACAAGGCATCTATTTAAACTGCACCTATTTAAGCCTTTCCTACATTATTCATTTTTGCCTCCATAGTCACTTCCTGCTGTTACCTGAATATATCCCAGGAATGTAAGGTATCCATGTCACCTCAGTGCTAATATCATTTATAAATGTGTGTTTCCAAGACATCGGGAGGAGGGAGAGTGCTGTTCTGTGAGGCAGGGGCAGGAAAGACAAGCTGGAGGAACATAGGGACAGACGACTGAAAGAAGAAAAGGGCCAAATTCTGCCCTCTCTATCCCAACCCCCGCAATTCCCGATCTTTCCATTATCTCCATAGTTTCCAGGATGTCATACAGCCGGAACTGTGCAGTGGGTAGCCTTGGCAGACTGGCTGTTTTCATTTAGCAACATACACTTAAGTTTCCTTTTTTTTTTTTTTTTTACTTGATAGCTCCTCTCCTTGAATAACATTGAATTGTACATATGGAACACTGTTTAGCCATTCACCCATTGAAGGACATCTTGGTTCCTTCTAGTGTTTGGTGAGTATGGAAAGATACTATTATAAAGAGGGTCTTTGGCCAGGTGCGGTGGCACATGCCTGTAATACCAGTGGTTTTGTAGGCTGAGGCAGGAGGATCGCAATTTCAATGCCAGCCTCAGCAATTTAGCAAGACCCTAAGCGACTCAGTGAGACCCTGTCTTAAAATGAAACACAGAAAAGGGCTGGGGATGTGGTTCAGAGTTTAAGCACCCCTGGGTTCAATACTGGTAACCCCCCCAAAAAACACCCCCCAAAATAAAGAGATTCTTTTCATACCTAAGAAGAGCCAGATATTCATGTGTCAGTTCAAGGACACATTCTTGCACTCACTTCAGAGTGTGTGATTGTTCTTCCTCCTCCTCCTCCTCCTCCTCCTCCTCTTCCTCCTCCTCCTCCTCCTTCTCCTTCTCCTCCTCCTCTTTCCCCTTTTTCTAATGGCTGGGGACTGAGCAGGTTAGTGATGTGGGGGTTTGGCAGGTATGAGTGTAAGGTATGACAGCCAAGTCTAAGGAATGATGTGACACTAGTCAACCTTTAATAAATAGGTGCACTGAGAAGAGATGTTAAAAAATGCAAAGACATATTCTAGGTAAGTGTAATTTAAAGACACTTTCATAGAACTTGAGAGAGGAATAGTGATTCCAAAGAGACTGAGGAGAAGAAAGGAATAGGGAAGGGGGAGCCCATCAGTGGGTAGCTAGGAGGAGCAAGCTCTGGTGCTGTGTGTCACAGCAGGGTGAATGAAATTAGCAATAATACATCAAAGATCTCAAAATAATTAGAAGAGAGGAATTTGAATGCATTCACCACAAAGAAAGGATAAAAGTTTAAGGTGATAGCTATGTTAATTATTCTGAGTTCATCACTACCCAATGTTTACATGAATCAAAACATCACAATGTGCGTCATACATATGAATATATATTATATGTCAATCAAAAGAAAACTAAAAAAAATATGCAAGGACATGGGGCGATTTAGTTCAAAGAAGAGAAGATTTCACAAAGATTTGATCTTGTAATTTAAAGACTTCCTTTTTACTCTGACTTCCTCATGATGTTTTCAAGATTTAACTGCTAAATGATTAAGGCTACCAAAAATAAACTATTACTCTCTAAGGATCCAAACATCTGAGCCTTAAATTTTAAGAACGTTTAGGTTCTACTTCCCCAAGGTCTCTCCTGTACTATTTGCCTATTGCTGGGAGATGGAGGCAAGAAAACTTCAGAAAGAAAACCCATAGGACCCACAGAAAACCCATAGTAAATCTACACAAAAAGAAGGAAACAGAGGTTAGAACACACTGGGTGGCGTATTTTAAAACTGTGCTGAAAATTTAACCTGGAGCCCTCACCTGCCAAGATTGTGAAATGTTGCAGGTCAGACACTCTCTTGTCTGCATCTCCTTTTTTCTTGTACTGTCTGATATGTATCAGGTGCTTAATAGCTGTTAATTGAATTGCTACTGTTACTACTGCTGCTGCTTCCTCTTCTTTCACCTCTATTTTTATTAGCTACCATTTTTTGAGTGCTTATGTGCTGACATGGTGATAATAATTTTTGAGCATTATGATTAACACTCTGATTTTAGCCCTGTTAGACATGATGAGCTTCTAATTCTGGATGACTAGGGAACAAAGGGGCTAGGTGTGAACTTGTGCTACTCTGACTCCAAAGTACTTCCTAATGATGCCTGAATAAACCAATGAAATAATTCAAAACCAAGTGGCAGTGAAGATCAGAGAATTTTCCTTTCTTGTATTCTTTTTTTTTGGGGGGGGGTGTGTGGTACTGGGGATTGAACCCAGGGCTTTATGCATGCAAGGCAAGCACTCTACCAACTGAGCTATATCCTCAGCCCCCTTCCTGTATTCTTTCTTAAATTTCCCCTCTGATGTTAAGACACCTGGAAGTTTGGGATAAAATCACTTAAATTTCTGTAAGCAATTATCTCAATCCACAGACTCATCATGGACTTCATTCTTTGCAGTCTCATACACCACTCTAATAGCAGTTGCTCTTTAGTTCTAGTCCTAACTACAAGTCCCAAACTAAAAGCCAGCACTAACTATGGCCACTGCACATGGGCCTGCACTAGGGAAGGTGGCCATGGACAGACGGAGGGGGGAAGGACTGTAATTGGAGAGGAGGAACCAGGAGGTGAGTTTCTCTTGTATTTTCCTTGGATGGTATATTTGGCTGCCACCAGAAAACATTCACCATCAACCTAACCAAGGGCTCATTGGAAGGCGAGGTAACAAAGTGTTGAAGAATTTTTGTCATGGAGTCATATTGTTTGAATCTGAAGTCATATTTTACTCACTGGCTGTGTATTTGGGGAATCGAAGGGTTAATGTATGTAAAAGTATTTAGAATAGGGCTTGAAACACAGTAAGCACTCAAATGTTAATGCTCCTCTCTGTGTGCACACACCCGCACTCACACACACACAGACAGTTGTCCCTTGCTATCCATTGGTTCCACATCTTTGCACTTAACCAGTCATGGAATTGAAATATTCAGAAAGAATTGCATCTTTACTGAACATGTTCAGACTTTTTTCTTGTCATTATTCCCTGGACAATACAGTGTAACAATTATTTACATGGCACTTACATTATATTAGGTATTATAAGTAGTCTAGGAGTCATTTAAAGTATGTGAGAGGTGAGTATAAGTTATGGTCATATACTATGCCATTTTATGTAATGGACTTAAACATCTGTATTGGGGTGTTTTTGGTCCTGGAACAATTCCTCATGGATGCTACAGGATGACTATATAATCTCTAGATCTTATTCTAAATTTTCACGGTCTTGGATGGGAATGAGTTTAGGATACTGAAGAATCCAGAACACCTGAGACAGAGGTCTCTCTCTTCATGCATAGTTTATGCTCTTCCAGAAATAATTGATTTTTTTATATGCACAAAAAGTCAAATAACATCTCTGCATATCCACTGGATGTACTCTCATGGAAAAGTGAGTGTGTTGGGAGCAGTAGAGCTACAAAGGATCGACAGGAGGATTTACCAGGAGAGAGAGCTGTGTTGGACAAATCCACCATGAAGGAGTAATCCTCTGGAGGTGAGGGCTGAGATGGGCCTTCCTGAGATGAAGGTGAATAAGTAGTGTCCTATGTGGGGCTGAAAGTGTTAATCCATTCAGGTAAAGAAACAGGGATTATATTGGAGCCATGGGTTCAGACAGAAGAGAGTAAGAGGGAGTTCGGAGTGTGGCCATCAAAACAGACACTGACTGGGAAATGGAGCCTTTTCTCAATGCCAAACCCCTGAAGGAACAGTAGGGTTAAAATCAAGGAGATACCTGTTAATTAGGTGACCAAGATTGAAAAGAGACAAATACTGGTGTGATATCACCAGACTCAAATTTGCCAGGCCCTTGCCGAGCTGAGATAAAGAGAAATCACAGCAAAGGGTACTATCCTTCAGCATCTGCTTAGCAGACTATTCAGTTGCCATTAAGGGAATCCAGCAGGGAGATTCCGTTTAATGGAATAGACATCGAGTTTTGCCTCAGCTAGACAGAGTGGATCTTTTCAAGTTTTACCAAATGCTAGTAACAAGAATTATACCCTAGTACACATTTAGGGCTGCTATCTGTTGAATGTGGAGTGCTGCAGCATTTGGGCAGAGCGTGGTCTCTGGAGTCAGGAAGACCTGGACTGGATCAGAGTCGTGTCCCCTGTATGATGTTGAGCAAGTCAGTTTTCCTGTTGACACCTTGCTTCCTCATTTTGTGACACAAAATAGTGCAATGGGTATTGTAGCATTGCCATGGATATTTGATTAATGGTTTTTCTGCTTGGTATATATCAAGTGTCTGATAAAGCCTAGTTGTGATGTTTATAACATTAGTCCATTCTGTTATTATTATTATTTTTTTTCTGAAGAAATTCATTTTTATCTTTGGCTATAAATAGTGGCATTTATAGGCAACTGACCAAAAGAACAATGAGAGGCATCTGGTGGGGGGAGCCTCCGTTGTCAAATAAGAACATAGGCATGTCTCCCTTGGCTAAGGCCCAGGTGGAGGTGATACCATGGATACTGAAAGTCTCCAGTGTGGGGGGAAATATGTTTCCATTCGGGACCTAAGAGAATACTTTCTTCCTCCCCATCACCTTCCACAGGGCGTCCTTGATCTCTCTGTTCCTCAGACTGTAAATGAGGGGGTTCAGCATGGGGATCACCAGGGAGTAAAACACAGACACCACCTTGTCCCTGCCAAGGGAGTAGCTGGAACTGGGTCGCAGGTACATGAACAGGGCCGTCCCGAACAACAGCGTGACCACTGTCAGGTGCGAGGCACACGTGTTGAAGGCTTTGCACCGGCCTTCCACCGAGCGGATCTTCACGACAGCAGATACTATATAGCTGTAGGAGACCAAGAGGATGAGAAATGACGTTCCTCCAACTGCCACCACCACGAGGAAATTCACCACCTGAGTGACGAAGGTGTTGGAGCAAGAGAGTGCCAGGATTGGTGGGAGGTCACAGAAGAAGTGGTTGATGACATTTGGTCCACAGAAGTGGAGCCGAAATATGGAGCAGGCCTGGATCAGGGAGCTCAGGAAGCCACCCATATATGCCCCGACCACCATGCGTGCACAGAGGCCCTGGGACATGAGGGTGGTGTAGAGGAGGGGGCTGGAGATGGCTGCATACCGGTCATACGCCATAGCTGTCAGAAGGAAGCACTCGGTTAGACCCATGCCAACGAAGAAGAAAAACTGAGCGGCACAACCCAGGAACGATATGGTCTTTTGCTCCTGGAAGAAGTCAGTGAGCATCTTGGGAGCCACGGTGGAAGAGTAGCAGATGTCAATGAAGGACAGGTTGCTGAGGAAGAAGTACATGGGTGTGTGCAGATGAGCGTCGCCTCTGATCAGAAAGATGAGGGCCAGGTTCCAGGCCAGGGTCACGAGATAGATGCTCAGGAAAGTCACGTAGAGGAAGTCTTGGAGTTCTGGATGGTCTGTGAATCCCAGAAGGATGAACATGGTCACAGATGAGCTGTTCCAGGCCTGGGTCACCAACATGCTTCCCATGGACCAGAAGGGCAAGATGCGGACCTGGGTTGGGGATAATCCACATTACAAGTGGTGTCAAAAAACAAGCACTGGGCTGGGCTTGTGGCTCAGTGATAGAGTGCTCGCCTAGCATGCGTGAGGCACTGGGTTCAATCCTCAGCACCACATAAAAATGAAATAAAGATATTGTGTCCACCACCTACAACTAAAAATTAATATACAAGAAAACAAACTAACATACAAACAAAAAAACAAGCACAAATGTGTGAGAGAGAGGGCAGAGAACTGCAGACTTACAAAAGACTTACACAAAGATTCTCTTTCTCTGAAGGTAATTGCAGTCATTTAAATATTTGGGCATTAACTATTGTGTAGCTGGTGTGATTTTAGACTTGAGTTCAGACTCTCTAGAATCAACTCCTTCCTTTGACATTCACTATTTGTGTCCCTTTGAACGAGATACCAACATCCATTTATTTAAAAGTTCACTTATTTATTTGCAGTACTGAGGATTGAACCCAGAGTCTCATGCATGTTAGGCAAGTGCTCTACCACTGAGCTACAGTCCCTGATCAATACCTAACATCTCTTGCTTCGTTTTTTCCCCTTTAAACTGGATGTTAGTAACTGCCTCACAGATTTGTTTTAAGAACTGAATAAGGCAACATATGTAGAATGCCTGGCGCATAGTAGCTCACCCAGAACACCTGGAGCTTTCTACCGCCAGTCAACACGGGGATGATAGCAGCTCATTCAGCTTTCCTGAGCTTCCATTTCCCCACTCGTAAAAGAGCAATAACAGTGTCTACTAAACAGAGTATGAGATTCTTTAGGACAGTGTGTAAAATGCTCTTGGGTGTTGAGATAAAATGTTGGTTTAACAAAATTGGGACTGTGATTGTTTTTTTGGGCAGCAATTATTTAGAGAACTGACCCTTATTTTGGAAATACTTCCTCCAGGTGTTGGAGGTGGAAGTGTGCTTATCTTATGGAAATGAGAATTCACTGATGCACTCCACAGGATTGTAAGGAGCGTTTGGAGTATGCTTGAGGAATTTAATGATTTAGGGAATTAGTGGATCAATTGAATCTGTTTTAAAGGGTGCCAGGATTTTTTTTTTTTTTTTTTTTGGTATTGGGAATTGGGAATTAAACCCAGGGGTAATTGGCTACGGGGCTACATTCCCAGTACTTTTTTTTTTTTTTTTTTTTTTTGAGCCAGGGTCTCACGAAGTTCCTGAAGGCCTCAGCATGTTGCCCTGGCTGGCCTTGAACTGGTAATCCTCCTGCCTCATCAGCTTTCAAGTCAGTGGGATTAGAGAGTTAGCTGAAGCGAATGGAAGGGAATGGAACACTTTATGTTGCTGAATCCTGCTCATGTGGAGGCATTACTTGCCTTAAGAGAGAAAGGAAATTCTCTTCCCTCTTGCAAGTAACCTCAGGGAGGCTCAGTTTGGTTTGAGTCTGAACTCCTTAAAGTTTTGTCATGGTTTGGATGTGTTTTTTCCCTCACCAAAATTTGTTACAATTTGGTGGCCAATGCAGCACTGTTGGTAGGTGGGACTTTTTTTTTTTTTTAATTTTTTTATTTATATATGACAGCAGAATGCATTACAATTCTTATTACACATAGAGAGCACAATTTTTCACATCTCTGGTTGTATACACAGTATATTCACACCAATTCGTGTCTTTATATATGTACTTTGGATAATAATGATCATCATATTCCACCATCATTAATAACCCCATGCCCCCCTCCCTTCCCCTCAAAACCCTCTGCCCTATCTAGAATTCACCTATTCCTCCCATGCTCCTGCTCCCTACCCCACTATGAACCAGCCTCCTTATATTAAAACAACAACAACAACAACAAAAAAAAAAAACATTCGACGTTTGTTTTTTGGGGATTGACTAACCTCACTTAGCATTATCTTCTCTAACTCCATCCATTTATCTGCCAATGCTATGATTTTATTCTCTTTTATTTCGAGTAATATTCCATTATGTATATAAGCCACATTTTTTTTTATCCATTCATCTACTGAAGGGCATCTAGGTTGGTTCCACAGTTTAGCTATTGTGAATTGTGCTGCTAATAATATATCTATACCCAAAGGACTTAAAAACAGCCTACTATAGAGACACAGCCACATTGATGTTTATAGCAGCACAATTCACAATAGCTGAACTGGTAGGTGGGACTTTTAAGAGGACTCGTATCTTTCTTGGGAGACTGAATTAGTTCTCACAGGACTGGATTGCTTCCGGCAAAAGTGGGTTGTTACAAAGTACCTCTCTCCTTTGTCCCTTCCCTTCCATGCAGGCTGGCACATTGCCCTTTCCCCTCCACATTATGAAGTAGCATGAGGCCCTTGCCAGATGTAGGTGCCCAATCTTGGATTTAAAGCCTCGGGAACTGTGAACTGAATTTTGTAAACCTATTTTTGTTTCACATTATTTGGATCTCAGGTATTCTGTTTTAGCAACATTAAATGAACTAAGACAAATCCCATGGTTTAGGCAAATCAACCAATTTTACACAATTGAAGAGGCAGAGTCTGAGAGACACAGTGAACCTCACTGGATTCCCAGATGCCGGAACTGCATCTTTTGCAAAAAATGTGAAAATTTAAGAATACAGTGAAATGAAGCCTCTAGCACAGCATCTTGCCCGTAGAAGATACTCAGTAATTGATGGAGACTGATAGAGTTCATTTAGAGTCAGTTCCATCAATATCTGCAAGAAGGCGTTGAGCTTTATAATCAAATTTGCCTGGTTTAAACTTAGATCAAGCGGGCAACGGAGGATGACATGGATTAATGACAAGGCCAACCTGGGTCAAACTGTGGAGTTGGCAGTGTTCTGCGATTTCCCTGTCTGTCCTGATCTGGGCTCCACCCTTCTCTCATCATGCATCCTCCTCTACTCTGCAGGTTCCTGGGTCCCTCAAGGGCTTGCTCTTGCAGGGCTTTCTTTCATCTAAATGTACACATGACTGATGAAACAGAAGGAGTCTCTCAATGTGGGGAGACTGTTCCAAAGGGGCCAAGGCTTTAATCCAGGAATTAAGACTCAGATGGTCAAATTCAAAGCATCCAACAGAAAAGAGAAGGAGGATTTAGGAGATTAGGGATTTCTGCAGTGTTTAGACAATCTCCTGTATGACCTCAGTCTGGATTGTAGCCCTTCCAAATTAATTTTCAGACTACTTCTTAATACTCAAGGCTGTGTTCAAGGGCATAGAAGTTCCTTCTGAAATTTCATTGCCTCTTAATCCTCTTTCTAATGGCAAGAGCTCAAATAGATTTTAGAAGCCTATCAAAGAAGCAGTAAAGCAGAATCAAAATTGAGCTGTGATTGTAGAATCAGACTCTTAAATGTTAACTCTGCAGTCTTTCTCAGATTATTGTGATGAGAACATTTTTCTGTTTGGAGTAAACTTGGTTTTGGAAAGATTGTTTTCATAATTTGTTTCATGTTAGCATGCCAATTTGTTTATCACAAAATTTCTTTTTTTTCATTATAGATGAACACAATATTTTGTTTGTTTTTATGTGGTGCTGAGGATTGAATCTTGAACCCAGTGCCTCACATATGTGAGGCAAGCGCTGTTTTTCATAGAATTTCTAATGAACAACTTGTGCATTAATAAAATTAGTGATTCAACTCATGATTTTCTGAACTTTTAAAAATGCTACTGAAAATTGATTAATCAACTAATTGCCAGTTGAAGAAAATGTGTTTCTTTTTGCTCTCTTAGTCACCTTGCCTGTAAAGACATGATATAGAATGGTGTTGAGCTTATATGCACATATTAATTAATAGGAAAACTATTCCATCATTAACTGAATTATTTGAGAATTATCTCAGAATTACCTGAGATGGAGAAGAGAATTTAATTACACAATGAATTTCTTTATCTTATTCTGAATTTCAATATTGCATTGAATCAAAGAAAGCTCAAGTGTGAGAAAAATAAAAATAAAAATAGCATGAGTTTTTTAAGGCTTTGCAAGAATAGTCCATAAATTCAATTTTTCCAAATTGTCCTTAAGAACACAAATGATTTTTTTAACCCTTGAAAACAAAAACATATAGATTAGACATTTTGAAAAGTGACAATTAAAAAGAAAATAATTATCTAACTATGAAAAAATATGAAGGGACCTTGCTAAGTGAAAGAGACCTATATGAAAATATGACGTGATATGTAATTCCAAATTTATGACATTCTGAAAACTCCAAAACTGTTATAGTTAAAGCTTTGTCCCAAGGTTTCATAAACTGACTTCCAGACCACTCACGTAGAATCGAATCAAGCCTTTATTGAAGCACACGGGTGGCGGCTGACCAGAACATAAAGCTGTTCCCCTGATCAGTCCCGAACAATTGCAAGGGCACTCCTTATAAGCCTGAAAACCGCAAAAGGGATGTTCAGGGGGTCCAGCCAATGCAAGCAAGCCAGGTTACAGAAGCGGGACAGTGCAGTCAAGCGGAGGGAAGCCTAACCAATCACAGTTAGCCCAGTCACCCCAGTTACAGAAACAGAGCCCCGTTACCCTAGTTACAGAAACAATCCCCCATTAGGTAGTTCCATGTTCTTAAAGGTTTCTATAGCAAAAGGAAAAGAACATCTTGCTCCAGTCATGACTCTTCTACTTGGCATGGTTGTTTTACAGGATGAAGTCATAAAACAAAATGGAGTCACATTTGCTCCTACTATCACAAAACTATGAAAACATTAAAAATATCAGTGATTGCCAAAGCTTAGAGGGAGGGATAATAATAGGGAGGAAATGAATGAGGTATATGGGAAATCTCTACCTTCTACTCAGCTTTGCTGGGAACCTAAAACTGCTCTAAAAAATAAAGTCTATTCCTAAAATAGTAGTACCCACCTCAAACAGATTAGTTTAAATGTGAGGAAAAGCAGAGAGAACTGAGAGGTACCAGGAGAAAAATTATAAGCCAAAGTACTGCTTGGATTTGTAGATCTGGGGTGCTC